AGACACAATATTGAATCTCAATAAGATTATTTACATTTTCTTCATCTTACATATGATCCGTACTGCTAGCTCTTTAATTTGAAATTTATTATGTCTGACTAAAATTTACTCCTTCATCTTTGATTGATTTGTTCAAAAATGTTTCAATATCTTTTGAGTCAAACAATTTGGCGCCGTCTGTGGGGATTTCTTAGTGAAATTTCCAAGTCTCTCCCAGATCAAAGACAAGAAATACGGTTATTCACCAAAAGGAGCGCGAAGGAAAAATCCAACCCACGCGAGACAAAGGAGCAGTGCAGTAGGGGGAGGAGAGCCAAACAAAATTATCAAGCTTAGAAATCTTCGCCCCATCGGACCACCAGACGGGGGCAAGGAAAGTTTCATTCTAACTTTCCTCCTAATCTCTGCTCAAGTAGGAATACAATGCCCACGCAGGCAAACGAATGAAGAAACACCTCAATTAAAGGACGAAAAACTACTGCAAAACAACTGTGATACCGCCCGTCGGTGATATCTCCGAGCAAGAAGACAGGAGCCAGACAAGGAAACCACAATTTCTGCGTAGAGCGAACTTAAGCTAAACCGCAACGTTTCGCATTCTTTGACGTAGTACCCTCCGTTGCGAGCAATACCAAAGGGACCAGGACTCTCCCAGAATATATATGGCTCTCCAAAAACTAGGATTGATGATGGGTTACTATTTCGACAAGTTCGAAATAATACCCTTTAAGGTCAAGGGCCTTCGCCAAAAAGAGAAGAGTTCGACCTCGATTGAACGATGACGGGTTACTATTTCGATAAGTTCGAAATAACACCATTTAAGGACAAGGGCCTTCGCCAAAAAGAGAAGAGTTCGACCTCGATTGAACGATGACGGGTTACTATTTCGATAAGTTCGAAATAACACCATTTAAGGACAAGGGCCTTCGCCAAAAAGAGAAGAGTTTGACCTCGATCGAACTACGACAGGTTACTATTTCGATAAGTTTGAAATAACACCCTTTAAGGCACAGGACCTTCGCTAAAAAGAGAAGAGTTCGACCTCGATCGAATGATGACGGGTTACTATTTCGATAAGTTCAAAATAACACCCTTTAAGGCCCTGGACCTTCGCCAAAAAGAGAAGAGTTCGACCTCGATCGAACGATGATGGGTTACTATATAGAAAAGTGTGAAATAACACCTTGTAAGGCCAAGGTCCTTCGCCAAAAAGAGAAGAGTTCGACCTCGATGTAACGACGACGGGTTACTATTTCGATAAGTTCGAAATCACACCCTTTAAGGCCAAGGGCCTTTTCAAAAAAGAGCATAGTTCGACCTCGATCAAAGGACGATGTGTAACTATATCGATAAGTTCAAAATAACACCCTTTAAGTCCAAGGGCCTTCGCCAAAAAAAGAAGAGTTCGACCTTTATCGAACGATGACGGGTTACTATTTTCGATAAGTTCGAAATAACACCCTGTAAGGCCAAGGGCCTTCACCAAAAAGAGAAGAGTTCAACCTTGATCGAACGACGACGGGTTACTATTTCAATAAGTTTTAAATAACACCCTTTAAGGCCAAGGGCCTTCGCCAAAAAGAGAAGAGTTCGACCTCGATCGAACGACGACGGGTTACTATTTCGATAAGTTCCAAATAACAACCTTTAAGGCCAAGGGCCTTCTCCAAAAAGAGAAGAGTTCGACCTCGATCGAACGATGACGGGTTACTTTTTCGATATTTTTGAAATAACACCCTTTAAGGCCAAGGGCCCTTCGCCAAAAAGAGAAGAGTTCGACCTCGATCGAACGACGACGGGTTACTATTTCGATATGTTCGAAATAACACCCTTTAAGGCCAAGGGCCTTTTCCAAAAAGAGAAGAGTTCGAAGTCGATCAAACGACGACAGGTTACTATTTAAATAAGTTCAAAATAACATCACGACGGGTTACAATTTCGACAAGTTCAAAATAACACCCTTTAAGGTCAAGGGCCTTTGCCAAAAAGAGAAGAGTTCGACCTCGATCGAACGACGACGGGTTACTATTTCAATAAGTTTGAAATAACACCCTTTAAGGCCAAGGGCCTTCGCCAAAAAGAGAAGAGTTCGACCTCGATCGAACGACGACGGGTTACTATTTCGATAAGTTCGAAATAACACCCTTTAAGGCCAAGGGCCTTCGCCAAAAAGAGAAGAGTTCGACCTCGATCAAACGACGACAGGTTACTATTTCGATAAGTTTGAAATAACACCCTTTAAGGACAAGGGCCTTCGCTAAAAGAGAAGAGTTTGACCTCGATCGAACTACGACGGGTTACTAATTTGATAAGTTTGAAATAACACCCTTTAATGACAAGGGCCATCGCCAAAAAGAGAAGATTTCGACCTCGATCGAACGACGATGGGTTACTATTTCAATAAGTTTGAAATAACACCCTTTAAGGACAATGACCTTCGCCAAAAAGAGAAGAGTTCGACCTCGATCGAACGACGATGGGTTACTATATCGATAAGTTTGAAATAACACCATGTAAGGCCAAGGACCTTCGCCAAAAAGAGAAGAGTTCGACCTCAATCGAACGACGACGAGTTACTATTTTGATAAGTTTGAAATAACACCATTTAAGGCCAAGGGCCTTCGCCAAAAAGAGAAGAGTTCGACCTCAATCGAACGACGACGAGTTACTATTTTGATAAGTTTGAAATAACACCATTTAAGGCCAAGGGCCTTCGCCAAAAAGAGAAGAGTTCGACCTCGATCGAACAATGACGGGTTACTATATCAATAAGTGCGAAATAACACCATGTAAGGCCTAGGGCCTTCGCCAAAAAGAGAAGAGTTCGACCTCGATCGAACAATGACGGGTTACTATATCAATAAGTGCGAAATAACACCATGTAAGGCCTAGGGCCTTCGCCAAAAAGAGAAGAGTTTGACCTCGATTGAATGACGACGGGTTACTATTTCGATAAGTTCGAAATAACACCCTTTATGGCCCTGGGCCTTCACCAAAAAGAGAAGAGTTAGACCTCGATCGAACGATGATGGGTTACTATATCGATAAGTGTGAAATAACACCTTGTAAGGCCAAGGTCCTTCGCCAAAAAGAGAAGAGTTCGACCTCGATCTAACGATGACGGGTTATTATTTTGATAATTTCGAAATAATACCCTTTAAGGCCAAGGGCCTTTTCCAAAAAGAGCAGAGTTCGACCTCGATCAAACGACGATGTGTTACTATTTCGATAAGTTCGAAATAACACTCTTAAAGTCCAAGGGCCTTTGCCAAAAAAAGAAGAGTTCGACCTCTATCGAACAACGACGGGTTACTATTTTCGATAAGTTCGAAATAACACCCTGTAAGGCCAAGGGCCTTCACCAAAAAGAGAAGAGTTCAACCTTGATCGAAAGACGACGGGTTACTATTACGATAAGTTCGAAATAACACCCTGTATGGCCAAGGGCCTTCGCCAAAAAGAGAAGTGTTCGACCTCGATCAAACGACGACAGGTTACTATTTCGATAAGTTTGAAATAACACCCTTTAAGGACAAGGGCCTTCGCCAAAAGAGAAGAGTTTGACCTCGATCGAACTACGACGGGTTACTATTTTGATAAGTTTGAAATAACACCCTTTAAGGCCAAGGGCCTTCGCCAAAAAGAGAAGTGTTCGACCTCGATCAAACGACGACAGGTTACTATTTCGATAAGTTTGAAATAACACCCTTTAAGGCCAAGGGCCTTCGCCAAAAAGAGAAGTGTTCGACCTCGATCAAACGACGACAGGTTACTATTTCGATAAGTTTGAAATAACACCCTTTAAGGCCAAGGGCCTTCGCCAAAAAGAGAAGAGTTCGACCTCAATCGAACGACGACGGGTTACTATATCGATAAGTTTGAAATAACACCATGTAAGGCCAAGGGCCATCGCCAAAAAAAGAAGAGTTCGACCTCGATCGAACGACGACGGGTTACTATATCGATAATTGCGAAATAACACCCTTTAAGGCCAAGGGCCTTCGCCAAAAAGAAAAGAGTTCGACCTCAATAGAACGACTACGGGTTACTATATCGATAAGTGCAAAATAACTCCCTGTAAGGCCAAGGGCCTTCGCCAAAAAGAGAAGAGTTCGACCTCGATCGGAC